AAAGGGGGGGGGGGGGGGGGGAGTGGATGTTGTCCAGTTGGTTGGCAATTAATGCCTGCCGTGAAATTAGACAAATTTGGTTGAGGCACAGTTTCTCGTGTTTCTTCGTGTCTCTGGGGATCGGAGCTGCTGGTCTGTAGTGGAAACAGCCAAAATGTATACGGCCCAGTGGTTTCGTTGTGGTGGTGATAAATAACTTAGACACATCAAGATGCTTGCAAAAAGGGCAACTACGTGCATGAAGGGGCTATCTGAAGTCTCTTCTGACAAATTACCATCTTTCTGTGCGTTGCGTTGGGTTGGGAAACTAATGAACGTGGCGGAATATGGCGTTTTGAAACCCTGCAGCCCGTAGTTGACACGCGATCGTTTCGAATTTTCTTCTGGTCTGCCTGTGACAGAAAGCCTAAGTTCCCAACTAACTTAATAGTGGCTTTACTACAGGACGGGATTTTGCAGCACGTGGAAATTGCAAGTGAAATGAAGTGTTGCGACTCTTTCTACGGCAGTATCAACGATCGAATCGCGTATCGATCTTAAATCAAGTCGCATCGAAGGGCTGATAACATTGGATAGGTTATACGCGCCAGATAGAAGGGCCACATCCACACCTAAGACTCCCTTGTCATATCCAAACCAAAATCCACTGAATGTTATTCCGTTATTGCCCTCAGGGTGTGTCTGTGTGGCTCAGGGCACGTTCATAAATTATTATTTCACGAAATTGTCTTTGGCGTGTTCCTGCTTCACGTGGGATAGACGACTCACAGTCTCAAAACTTGGGTTTTAGACTCCCGCCAGCAAGAGGGACGCTTTCTTACGTCCGGAGTAGTTTTTATTTTGTATTGAAATTTAATTCAAGATTCTGTGACGTGCGTGCGTGCGTTTTGGGTTTGTTGTTAGCCGTGATGATGACGTAGCTCCAATATTCTCTGCTTATTCTCTCTTACACAGTGGATCTGTGTGCCTTTCGAGATGAAAGCAGCAGAAACGCAGTGTATGGAACCCCCCGCATGTGGACCTCCCGCTGAGCGATAAATTAGGGGAGAAGTGTTTTCTATTTTTCCCGCTAGATTTCATGGTCTGCTGTAATGAACCCATAGAATAGTCGCGGGGGGGGGGGGGGGGAAAAAAAAAAAAATTCCCAAGCGCCAATTTTTATTCCTGAGAATTATAATTTTATTTATAGACCTGCGTTTCTGTTGATATTTATTATTATAATTTCTCTGTTTTCTGACGAAGCGTTTGAGTTATTTAGTGGTACTGGAATAATCCGTATTAAGGCTGCACCATATTGTGGTCTGTCCTTGTTTCTCGTCTTATTTGAATGTTAAAACACAAACCGAGCGCCACAACGTGAGATTTCTCTTCTATGCCCTTTCATGTCTGATTACGTTGGGACCCTCAGACGCGTACCTGAATCAAGTGATTTCTTTGAGTAATTAATTTGGTAATTAAATACGAAGTAGCTCATTTAAGGTGTTTAACAATTTAATGATTTGTAAATACTTTGTGTTCTGACTTGGTATAAGCCTAGCTGTTAATGAGCGTTTGAAATGCAAATAAATGCAGTTACCTACCTTCACAAATTCAGGGCGTGGGCTTGTTTCTGTATACCACTGGTTCGAATCTCAGGAGCCACGGTCCCACCTCACTGAAAAGTGTCGGTGCTCTTTAACTGACGGAACGAAGCAACGTAAGACGTTGTTGCACGTTGCAGGGAGGAGGGCGTTACCATGTAAACGTTAATCGGGACGTATTAAATACAATTAATTTATAATTTATTTTATCCCGTGTTGCTATCGTTTGAAGTTCCTATGCGAAAATTGACGAATTATTTACGTCGAATAATTTTTTTTTTTTTTTTTTAGAATTAAATATTCTGTAATGGATCGTGTTTATGAACGTGGAATGCATTGAAACTAATGAAGCCTGAAATGGCATTGAAATAAAAACGATGTTGGTACTTATAAACGCATCCGCTCAGAAAATGAAGCTTACAGAGTAGGATAACAACACCTGTCAATGCAAAATTGGAACATGATAGTTCGTCATAGCCCCACCAGTCTTGGTGGAACAAGGTTCTTGTCGAGAAACTTGTAATTTCTCGTCAAGATAGTAAATTCCCCCATTTTTCTGAACCCTGAAGATGGTTTCTTCCCGCCAGTAGCCCCTGTTTTGAACCATTTGAACCCAGTCCACACCCTGAGGCCCTCTTTTCGCAGGATTTACGTTCTCACAAATCTTCTGTGTGTTGTTTATTTAATGATGCTTTCAATAGCTCAGATTACCCATTGTCGATGGTTAGTGTATAATGAACCAGAAAGGCTATGGAAGGAAGCGGTCGTGGCCTAATTTAAGGTACTATAACTGCGTTTGGTCGAAACCCTGAGTCACGTTAGTCGGATACCCCAGCCGGGTTTGAAGCCGTTCGGTGTCAATGCTGTTTGTCCCCTTCAGGTTTCGTAACCAAACTTTGGTAAGTATTTCTTGTTCCGCGCACTGCAAGTCCTTCGCGTCACATTCTTCGTGATTTGGTGGTCATGAAAACATTTGGTGCAGTTTCGCTGTCGCCGAGAAATACTCGATCAGCTTTTTTCAGCTAATCGCCACTCAACGTGTATAATCGTAGTTAATGTTTCATAACGACGTGTTCAGATGCACATGCATGATTAAACAAATGACCCACGTGCATTGACCTTTGCTGTCATTTATTGGAGGAGATGCGGATGTTGTAAGGGGATAATTGAAATTAATTTTTTCTCATGTAATAAAATTATGTGGACCTGAATTATTGCCCTAAGTTATTAGTGACGCTTCTGTTATAATCTAAATTTTGTTTCCATTTTGTAACCGCGTGTTTTAGAAACAATTTGGGGGGGGGGGGAGTGAACATCGATAATGAGTCGCAAATTTCCC